ACTGGCTGATGACATGGCAGTTTTTTATTTTCTCTTAATGTGTCTTAAGCAGCTCAAAGATTGGATGTTACTTGTATGCTGTAGGTTAAAAGAACATAACTCAGCCCCAACTGAACTCCATGGGTGGCTGCATCATTATCTAGTTATTGCTAGGGGTACAGCTGAACTCAGCTGGCTTCAGAAGCAGGGAACAGGGAACAAAACCAGCCTGACTTGATTCCTGAATAGAGTAGGCATAAGATACTGTCCTCTGCTGCTTTCCTTTGCCACAGTGTGATTTGGTTGGGCCTATTCCTAGCAGGTAAGGTCCTTCTAGTCTGTGCCCACCGAGGCAGGGAGAGGACAAGACCAAAATGGCCAGATGGGAGCAGATGGCCCATGGGAAGTCTGGGGGGAAGAATACAGGGAACCACCCATCATTGCCAGATAGCTTGTTTTTGACGTCTTGACAAATGCAGATCCTTTGCCCCAGTGCCAAGTCCCTTGGGCCCATCAGAATGATTTGCCCCTTTCCACAGCCCCACTTCAAAGCCTGTCACCTCCATGGCCTGTTCCTGCTCTGCTAAGCTATTCTGAACAACTGTAGTAATTTTCTGAAAGGCTGAGAATTACAAAATGAACACAGGGAGGCATCCCTAGAGCTCAGGACAGAAAAAGTGCTCAGAGTGATTTGAAATCACCCCTTGCCATTCACCAGCCATGTGTCTTTATGCAACTTAGCCTCTCAAAGCTGGTTCCCTTATCTACCACCTAAGAACTGTAACATCTTTGCTGGTTCTTGTGTGGACCAGCCATGTCCAAAGTCTGGTGGGCAGTAGGCCTGGGGTCATGGAAGCTCCTGATTATAGGCAGCATCATTATGCAGGTCACGTGGGGCTCTTCTGTAGTTCAGGTAAGCAACAAAACCTCAGCAGGAGCCTCCTGAGGGACAGGGGCTGCCCCTGGGGTCTGGGTTTGCCTGGGTCCCTTCCTTTGCCTCTCATGATCCTCCCTAGTCACTTCCAGGTACCATGTACCTTTGCCCATTGTGCTCCCTGAGTGCTACTCCTTAAGTTTTTGAGTAGGTAATCCCTTCATGTAGTTCCATAAAGTCTTCCTTGCATCCCTGACCTGGCAAGACCAACTTTATCAGCTCTTGAACTCCCACTCTTAGTTTGTTCCAGGTAGATCCTTCCAGTGACCATTTATGCATATACAGGTAAATACGCACGCATATGTGTGCTTGTGTGTGTACATAATTTTTTTTTTAACTTATGTGATACAAGTATATCCAAGGAGCATTCCTATTCATGGGGGAAGAGCCATCCCAGAAGGCAGAGTATCTGTAAAAGGTGAGCCCATAATTGGGGGATGTCTTTGCAATCACATTCCTTTTTGAATAAGGCATTTTTTTATTGATTGCAGCATACTGGAATTCTAGTTTTCCATACAAAGCAGAAACAGCAATCCCTCCGTGGCCCTTACCACACAGATGCTCAGATAATATGCGAGTACAACCAGTTTCCAGACTGTCTTTCTGGCCTGTGACAGAGGACACTCAAGAGCAGGTTCTGCTCTGTTGCTGACAGCAGCAATGCAGGCCTCTGGTCCAGGTCCAGCAGCCTTTGCAGGGCCTGGACAAGCTGCCCCCACCCCCACCAAACCCCATCTGACAGGGTGATGTCTGGCTACAAGTGCCATGATTTCTTAGGCGAGCTCCTTTGTTTTTTTGAGGCAGGGGTTTGAGAAGCAGCAGCAACTGAAGCCTGAGGCAGCCTTGGGGGGGGGGGGGGGGGGGGGGTGATGTCTCAGATGATACTAAGCAGGTAGATGGGCAGTCTCCTCCAAATTAACCATAGATACACACTTCAGTGTCCTATTCAAGGTCATGCACTCTGCTCCCTTTCCCGCCCCACTTTATGCACACATTAAAAAGAAAATGCTTCCCACAGAATTTTCTCCATTTGACAATAGAAATTACTCCACTAGTCACCTTTTCTTTGAAGAAAAAAAAAAAAAAGGTCTTAAGTCCACTTTTGCCCCTGCAGGAGATAGAGTTGCTTCCTCCAGGCAGCTCTGCGGGGAGGGGCATGGACTCCTGCCTTGGTCCTTGCCAACTTGCCTGGCGTCCTGCCTTCTTCCCTTGGATTAAAAGTGCAGCTTGGGCCCCTAACCTGAAACTTGAAAGGAATTGTATGTGAAAAGCCACTTTCTGTTACTTGAGTATTTTGTTCTGGGTTAGAATGTCTTCCACATTGGCTATTAAGAATTTTAAGTAAAAGAGATGAATGTGTCTCAATTCACAATGTCTAAATTCTGGTGAAATCTGCAGTTCAAAACTGGAAATGGTTCTTTAGTAGATAAGACGAACGAAAGATCCCATATGCCATGGAATGTGCTTCCATTTGAGTGAGAAAAACAGGAGAAAAATGGGGCTCGTTCAGTTTGTTCCCCTTTAGAGCCCAACTTGTTGCAAGATGCAAATAGTTTTGTTCCACTTTTAGACCAAGCATCGCACCCTTGGCTTACCAACCTAGTACTCACTTCTGTGGCTCTAGGGTCAGGGAGAACACCCACCCTGCTTCAGGGACATGGACCTCGAATGTGGTCCCCACCAGTGTCAAGGGACCTGTCTGTAGTTTGATGAAACTCCTTTCTGCTCCCCGTGCCAGTACAAGCCTGGGGGACCTGCATCTAGGGCCAGCTGCACTGTCCTTCCATGTGCCCCTTCCCTCACAGGCCCTGCCAGAGCAGGCAGGGCCAAGATTAGGGAAGTCTCTCCTGGCGAGGGCCTGGTCTTCCAAGAGTGTTCCTGATACTGTCGTCTCTGCGTTTCTTGACATCATTGCCAGGAATGGGGTAGTTTAAATCCTGTAGTTTATTTAGCCCCTCTGGGTTTTATTCACTAGATCTTGTATAATTCCCTCAAAAAAAAAGGTTTATGAAATGCTGAGCCTCAGGTTTCATAGACGTGTTTGTACACTAAGAATTCTGCAGCAGAATATTTTTAAACATTCGCAGTTTTTGTAAGCTATATTTTTGTATATTTAATTGCTATTTTAAAATTTTAATGCATTTTGGGCTAATTACTCCTGTTTTCAAAACAAAACATGCATGTAATTGAAGTAAACAGATGTAAATAAACAGGTTTTGAAAATAATGTGTTGAGTATGCACCCTGTAATTCAGAGGGGCCTGAGGTCACGACCTACACCCCACTTCAGCCTGTGTAGCAAGAGTTGGAAAGTCAAGGTGTGTGGCTCTGATCAAAGTGAGCTGGCTGGTCAACATGGGACGGTGATGAAGGCGAGCTTTCAGCCTGCGCCCTCCAGTGGGGTGGGGTGCGGGGTCAAGGGTGAGGACTGGAGCACCAGGTCACAGTGAGGCTAGACACACCAGTGGTCTCACCCATGCGGACAGCAGTGCTGGGGGGAGGGGGTTGAGGTGGGGGAACTGGCCCCACCCCACCCCTCTAGCTACACCTCAGGCTTGGAAATACCAACTATTCTGTTTGTTAGAAGAAAAAAACATCTCTCGGTCCAAAGTCACCCTGTGGCAACTGCCATTTCTTCTCACCACCCCTCACTGGGACCCCTGCAGCTCAGCTCTGGCCCCACAGCTTGGAGGAAAAGTGCTCCCCTCAAGGCCATCTGGACCACTTCCTAAACCTCCTCTGAATGCGGGTGCCAGAGAACTCCTCCTCTGCGGCCCCCACTGGGCCACTTTGCAGCCTTTCCTTCTCTGCCCACCTTGTAGCGGTTCTAATCACTCTACCTGCATACGCACTACATTCCCACCTAGATACACACCCCTCTCGGGTCTGAAATCTCCCATTAAAATACCCCGCTGCCTTTTTGGTATCAGAATCACACAGTCCAAAACCAAGCCTCCCCAACAAGCCTGGATCCCCTCACCGGGACTCCCGCCCCCCTCGCCAGCCACCACGCGCCAGCACTCGGCCCTAAGAGCCTTCCTCGCCCATCTTGGTTTGGGCCACCCCTCCCCCGACAGACACTGCCTGTGGGGGGGGGGGGGCGCCCCTCGGGCCCCCTCACGGTGGGCCGACCGGGAGGGACATGGCCGGGACAGGGCAGTGGCGCCTGGAGAGGGGAGTTTACTTACACGCATCTCACAAGCTCACAAGCCGGAGGGAGTGAAGTGGTCGTAAACTGGGCTCAGGCTCGGGGAGGAGAATGTGCAGGGATGGCCTTAGGGACACTCCGCGGTGAGAGGGGAAGGCGGCAGCGGCTGGGAGGGGCCGCTACCTGAGAAATCCGCGCCCAGAGCTGCCGGCCTTTAGGGGGCCGGGGTGCACCTGCGTCCTCTGAGGAGTGGCAGCGGGCCGGGCAGGAGCCGCCAGAACTCTGCGCCACAACTGACGACGAGGCCAGGAAATGTCTGTTCCACTCAGGAACTCGCGGCTGACGGACCAGGCTACCGTCTCTGGAGGGGGAGCAAGCGGAGAGGGCCTGGGGCACAAGGGGTTCCAGAAGCACGACTGTGCAGTAGCAAGTGGGTAGTGACGCTGTCTCTGGAGGCCGTGGGGAACGCGTCTGAGGGCTACGGGACAAGATTAGAGGTGGCTCGGGCTGAGGGTCACAAGCGCCACGAGGGGTGGCAGCAGCAGAGAAACCGATCGCCCCCCAGGGGCCACCAGTCCCATCCCCGCAGCGTCCCTCCAGCCCTGCTGCCTGCACCAGGCTGGCAGCACCCACAAGCCACAGGCGCCCAACTGCGTGAAGGGGCGGGACGTCCCCTGGGAAACGGCCTGGGGGGAGGGGGCCGCAGGCCGCCGCCTTCGGCTGCTACGTGCCTCTGCTGCCCCCACGCGGCCAAGGCAAGAGGTGCCGAGGGACCCGACCCTCCTCCCTCAGCGACCCTGGGAACCTTCTTCAGTTCTCCCCCTGCCCAGGCGCCAAAGAGGCTGGGGTTTCCTTCTGGTTCAAAGGCTGATTTTATACAGACCCTTCATCGCCTTCAACAGAGATGCGGACACAAAAATACACAAAACGCTGGTCTATCTCCAAGGGGAAGAGTTTTTTAAATTATTCTGCACAGCGGAAAGAAAACGTTCTAAGTCAATCTACCAAGACTCCATCTTAAAACCTGACTAATCACGCTACCTTTTGAGTCTGCACGTGCAGCTCTCATGCAGTCCTACCCAGCGAGCCTGCCTGGCAATTTGTGGCAAGTAAAGACCCCAAGTAGGAGGGGAAGGCAGAAATACCCCGCCCTGCTCCCCATGAGTTAATCAATGGACTTCAATTCCTCACTTTCTACCAGCCCGAAACAACCAAATTCTCGATTCCCTGAAAAGATGTCAATTCAAGAGGCCCCTTCTGTCTGGTTTTTAGCCTTCCAGGTGGTGTTTTTTCTACTAGCTTAACTCACTTGAGACAAAATTACCTCCCAGCCCCCACCCCCACCCCCCCCGGAAATTCTGCCCAGGGTAAACTAAGCCCCATCTTTCCAAACAGACCTTCCCAGACTTGCAGTGTAGAGTAACCTGGAACTGCCCTTCCAAAAGTTGCTTAATTGCCAAAGTTACAAATACAGAATTACTCTGCCCAATCAAGTTTGCAGATCCTTGAAATAAAACATGTTTTTCAGTATGTTCACACAAAAGGCTAAATGCACACCACAGTTAATGCACAGATGATGATCTCCAAGGCCATATTGACAACATTGTGATTAGATTACAACATACAGTGCTTGCCTTACATCTAGCAAGTTCAACAGGACACAAAACCACAGTCAGCTGAACACAGAACAGCTCTCCCCTGAAGTAGCTCCAGTAAGTGACGCTGAATTTTAAATATACATGGCGGTTAACAAAGCTATACTGAAGAGCAACTTCAACACCGCAGATCCTCACTGCCATGGACATGGTCCACTTTTTATATATGTATCTTTCCTTACTGGTTACTAGTTTAGGCTGAATTTTTAAGGATTTATCTTGATGACTTAGAAAAATACACTTGTCCTTTCTTGCTTTGATTCGGGTAGTACACAATCATAAAATTGAATAAGTCTCTTAAAAAACAAAAGTTCACAGATCCCACTGTGGAATGTTCCAGGAACCCCTCCCCAGGTAACGATCAGGGGATCTTCAACAGCTCAAGGAGTGCTCCAACGGCTCCAAAATAACCCTGAAAAAAAAGTACACCAAAAATGAGAGCAATTTTCCTTAGACTTATTTAAATTACCATAATATGATTAATAACATTAAAGCCAACAGTGAGGGCCCTTAATTCCTGACACCCATTCCTTCAGCACCCATTGTGCTAAACCCAAGGCCAGCCTGGAGCAGAGAAGCTCTGAGAGCTCCCAGGCTGGGGAGGAGGGCTGGATGTCCAAGACACCCAGGCAGGTCAGCGTGTGAGACCAAAGCGCACGGTGAGGGCTGCAGGAGCTAGGGGCCCACGGCGGCCCAGTCACCTCCCTAAGAGCCCATAGCGGGGCTGTCTCCTGCAGAAGGAGGAGGGGAGAAGCAGTGGAGGCCCGGAGCCTCGCCAGACAACTAAGGAATGAAGGGAGGATGGGACGTGAAGTGCAACGGGGCAGGAAGGGCTCGGGGCTGGTCAGAGAGGGTGAGGGCCTAACTGGGCTGGGGATGGAAGGGAGAACGGGAAGAGGGTGGAATGGACTCAAGACCTGCCTGAAGAAGGGGAAGAGGGCAGCAGGGAGGTTTAGGTCTTTCCTTTGCATCTGGCAACAGTGCCCGAGAAAAGGGACACACGAGCAAGAGACGCCCTGAATCCGGAACAAGGCAGCGGCGAGGGCAGCACGGGGAGAGGCGGGCAGCAGAGTGGACAAGAGTGCCCCGAGGCGACGCGATGAGGGCGGCACAGATGGAAAAGCACCATGGGCGGGGGGAAGGACCGAAGAGCCCAGAGGGAGGGCAGAGGTGTGAAAAGGCCAAGCAGCAGGTGAAGGAAGACAATGTTGGATCATCTCCAGAAGTAAGTAAAGTCGAAGTCAAATACAACCAAGAACCAAGACCTTAAAACCCAAAAACAGAAAAGAAAAGAAAAAAGAGAACTGAATATATCAAAATGAGAGCAAACCCGCGCGGGCAGAGCGCGTGCCAGCAGGAGTCGGAGCCGAGGGCAATCCTCCAGCGCTCTAGAGCCCATCAGGGTCTCCAAGGGACAATGAATCAAGCAGTCTCGGAAAGAGGGACATGACCGAAAAAAGGAAAGTGGGGAGATCCTGAAAGACCTGCGCCCGGACTGAGAAGCTGCGAAGAGTCTCTGCCATAAGCCGGGAAGGTCCAGCCCGGCGCCCAAGGCAAACCACTCCAAGAAAAGTGGCCACACACGAGGGGGGCTGGAGCCTCTCCTCACGCTGTTGCCTGGCCTTAAAAACGGGCGGCCGCACGATGAGTGCGGCGGAGGGGACGACGCGGAGGGACCCCGGCCCCGGCCGAGGACGGGCTCGCGGGCGGCTCGCGGTCACGGCTGGCGCTGTGCTGTTTTCCGTGGCGTCCCGAGCGGCAAGCGGAGAGACGAAGCTAACCACTACACGAGCGGCCCTGAAGGCCCAGGACCCAGGACAGACCCCAGCACCAAGGGGAGGCCGGCCGTTCCGGGCTACTGCACACGAAGGCGAGGGCGCGAACGCGGGCCGAGAGGGGCCGACGGGGGTCCGTCCGTCCGCCGCTTCCTGAGGCGTCACGCGCACCGCGGCTGCGAGCAGGGGCCCGAGGCAGCCGAGCGCCACGAGCGCAGCGACCGCCGCCCGAGTCCGACGCCCCGGAGGCCGCAGGGCCCGCGGAGAGTCCGGGCGGAAGCCGAAGTCAGCCGGCGGGAAGGACGGCCAGATGTCCGACCAAGACTCCGCAGAAAGTGTTCAAATCCTAACTATTACGGTGTGAAGATTAAAACAAAGTCAGCCCGAGAAGCGACTCTCCACGTCCCACCTAGGAAAAGGTTTTCCAGAGGCGGAAACGGAGCGGGAGGGAAGTTCTACTACGATGTGACACGAGAGAGGGTTTCTTTTCATTCTAACGTAGAGCAAAATGAAACAGGTCAAAGATCACAGAAAGATACAGAAGAAACTTAATGATAACTGGGTACCGATTTATCAATAACATTAAAAGTAAAAAAAGCTTTGAGGGCACAAACTTACAGCGAGCAGCACGGAAGCGGGAGAGCGACAGCCCAGCCCCGCACCCCCCGGGGCAGTAAGGCGCGCGGACCCCGCCGCACCCGCCGCACCCGCGGCTCCCTCGGCAGCCTAGCGGAGGGACGCGCTGTGCGCCTTAGCCCTACACAAGGTCACACGGCAGACTTATGCAATTAAAAACTTTTTAATAAAAGTTAAAATATTAGATGACTAAATTTTAAGCTTTTTGAAAAGGGGAATTTGTGTACTTTGAATTTTAACTATGAATTTAAGCCACTTAAAGAGGAAAAAGAGCAACTTGAAGGGAAAAAGCCACCTCTGTAGCACTTCAAATCGTATTCTGTCAATTCCTATAAATACTATTGTTAAAGTAAATGTGCACAAACAGTTCTGAAAAATGTTCATGATAACACTATTTAAAATCCAACAACACTGGAAATAGTCCAACTACCCCACAACCAAGGGCACAGAAGAGAGACCCCCCCCCTACAGCTCTGGTTCTATTTCCTCCCCCAGCTGGGGTAACACAGTAGGGCACCCCCCACGTGGGGCATCAGGTGGGCAGCTCGGTGATTCTCCTCCATCCTGTCACTTCCAGCCTGTCTAGGCACTAGCTCTCACAACAGTGTGGTTCTCATCTTGGAATATGTTTTTGTTTGTTTTCAGAACATACATCTTAAGTAAGTGGCACATGAACTGTATCAACACATAAAAACTGACATCAAAATGAAAAAAGCAGAACCCAGAGTAAATGCATTTACAAAATAAGTATAATGGGAAAAATATAAAGGATGGTTCAGAAAAGAACATAACCTTAGAAATACAGGTGTTCATCAAGATTTCTTTAAAATTGCTGAAGCTCACAATTAAATTAACCAAAAATTTCTCTTGCATTAAATCAGGTAAGAAATAGCTCTTGGACATTACAATCAAAGTTAAACCCCCATCATGCTTTCACAAAAAAATAAGAACTGCAGTCCACTTCAACATTTATGTCAAGTTCCAACGCAGTGGGAATTGCATGCCCTTTACGTTTGTTAACATTATCACAAGAAGTAAGTCCGCTTACCTCGTGTTCCGAAAAAAGTGCTTTCAACTGCCCCTTGGACCAATAATCCAAAGCATATGCCAAAAGCCGCATGGCGATCGTATTAATTCTCAAGAAATTTCCAACAAATACCACCTGGTTAATGTTCTGAGCACATCAAAAAAAGGCAATTAGTTTTCATCTTAACTTCTGTTCTCTCGTAAAAGCTACCCCAAACAGAGCACCATGTGCATGGTTTTTAGCAGCAACTTGACTCCTGAGCAAAAAACAAAAAAAGTATTTACATTTAATCCAGTTGGTCCAAGGCTACTTAATTTGAACCCGGACAACTCTGGACCTACCCACTTCAAACCATGCCAGAAAATGTCACAACAGAAAACAAATTAGGAAAACCATTTGTATTAAATATGACAAACAATAACTGCTATTGAAGTAAAAGTTTTATACAGAAAAAAAAAAGACCAAATTCAAAGAAGGAAAGTGACACAAACAAGCAAATTATACAAGAAATATAATAGGAAAAAATTCAACCCCCAACAGTAGTCAAAGAAAGGAACATTTTAAACCTATTAAAAGCAGAACAACTAACTGAAATTCCACCCCCAACAATGAGCCAAATTATGGTAACACTGATCCACTCATTCAGTGCTACAGAGATCTGAATTAGTACGACCCTTGTGAAAAGTGCCTTGGCAATACCTATCAAAACTCCCAAGCATGGGCATATTCTTTAGAAGAGAAACCTCACTCCAGAGTAAGTCCCTTATCAGGAATAAAATGCAACCAAAGAAAAGCTTCACGCTTAAAAATGCCTTCCTGCAGAGCGATCAGTGCCAAGCAACCAAATGCCCAGCTCCATGTGATTTATGATACAAAAACAAATCAAATATACAACAGTGAAATTTTAAGTATTTAAGTAAAAAATATAACATGGTATGTACACCCACACCAACTAACAGATCTTAAAATACGTAAGTACAGGACGAGGAACATGCAATAAAGGAAACAGTAACTTTAACACATTGGAACGAAGAATGTTTTTAATTACTTGATGCTGATACAGTATCTTTTTAATTAAAAACAAAACAGTCTTTTTGTACCTTTCCAAGTCTCCTTTTGAAGCCACATGCCTACATCATCTCTTTCACAGAATAACTGTAAACAAAACTGTGTAAGTAGGGACACACAGTAAAGGCGGTAAGGCCGCATCCTCTGGGCCCCCAGGGAAGGCGGTTCTCGGTGCTTTCATAGCCCTGTACAATGCTGCTTGACCTGAATGCTACAAGGCAGCACTGTAAAGAAGCTGAAAGCACAAAGACAGCTCGGCGTTGGCAGGGAGGGCGGGCACTCCTGGGCCGCCGGACCTTCTCCAGCTTCAGCGGCTTCCTCCAGAGGCCTTCCCAGGGACTGCAGGGCTCCGCGGGGAGCACGGGACCTCTGGCCAGCTGCTATCCGTCACCGCCACCCACAGTCCCTGTCACCCGGAGTTCGGACTGCCTTCCTGCCTTCCTACTTTCTCCCCGAAAGATGTATTTTTACTTCTAGATAGTGGCAATATTTATCTTCACTGAGAGGGAAAAAAAAAAAATCAATCAGTGAAGAGGAGTCTACATTTGAAGAGCTTTAACTTCCCCAACGAAAAGAACTCCACCCCGCCCGACTACACTGAGGCACCGTCCGGACAAGACAGACATTGTACACCAGGCAAGGCCCCTTAGTACGTTCTGTATTTTCCTCAGAGCATCAAAAGAAATCCACGTCCCCTTACTTCATTAAGGGCACACATTCTTGCTATTGAGCCAATGTTGTTGGTGATGGTGATCAATGTTGCTCTGGCGAGGTCCTCTTTACTGACTGCCTCTCGCTTCTCCTTGCTCATCATGTTTCCAAAGCTGTGAAGGGAAAGAAAATACCCAGCAGCTGAACCAAAGGCAACACAGCCCAATAGAACTTAAATGTTACTCTACTAAGACAAATGTGACATTGTTCAAATCTTCAAACTTTTTATTACAAAATAACAGAGCATCTGCTCAAAGAGAAACACAACTCTGAAGAAAGCCCTCAAGCTTCTGAATAAGCAAATGCCTTTCCTGCAGCTTCCACTGAAACCTAGCTTTGATAACAGATCTTCACACATCCAGGTAGGATCTCATCAGATCCACTCTAAGGCACCATTGCTCCTTCTGCAGCCAGGGACAGTTCCAGAAAGACACCTCTATTGGCAATTCGATCCCAAGTGCACAGCCATTCCGCTCAGCTGAATGGGCACATTCTGTCGGAAACTGCTCCATCAGAGCAAAGCAAAAGCGCAGACAGTGGAGTCCCAGAGTAAACTCCTTAAGAGTTTCAGATTTCCCTAGAAGATAAAGTACTTCAAAGTACCTGACCAGGAGAACTGCTACATTAATAACTGTGAGCAGAACACAAACCCAATCAGAAATGGAAGTGATTAATAATGTGCAAATACCACAAACTCAGAATGTGACATCAACAGCATTTACAAAGTCCCCGAAATTAGTCCGCAAGCATGTATACGTGTGGTCCTTTTTCTATGATTAAAAAAATCACATGTCATAATACACAGAAAACAACTTTTTCTAAACAAACCAGGAATGAAATTTAAAAAACAATCCCCGAGGTGCCTGGGTGGCTCAGTCAGTTGAGCGTCTGTCTGCCTTTGGCTCAGTCTGCCTTCGGCTCATCAAGTCATGATCTGGGGGTCCTGGGATCACCCTGAGTCAGGTTCTCTGTTCAGCGGGGAGTCTGCTTCTCCCTCTTCCTCCCCCCACCCCTGCTCATTCACGCTCTTTCTCAAATGAGTAAAATCTTAAAAATAAAAAAAAAATTCCCTTTACAATAGCATCAAAGAGAAAATAGTTAGACATATATTTAACAAAAGAAGTATAACAACTGTACACTGAAAACCACTACCATAAAACATAGGTAAAAGAAAAGCAAAATTCTAAATAAATGGAAAGACATCGTATCTTAGGTCAGAACACTTGATAATGTTAAGATGGCAATACTCCCCAATGTGAGCTACAAATTCAACACAACCCCTATCAAAATCCCAGCTGCCTTTTTGCAGCCACTGACAAGGTTATCCTAAAATTCACCTGGAGATTCAAAGTACTGATTCATGCTACCACATGGATGAACCTTGAAAATATGCTAAGTGGAAAGAAGCCAGTCACCAAAATCTCATATTATAAGACACCATTTATATGAAGTGTCCAGAACAGGCAAATCTATAAAGACAGAAAATATATTAGCATTTACCAAGGACCAAGGAGGGGAAATGAGGAATGAATGACAACTAATGGACAGAAGGTTTCTTTCTGGGATAATGAAAATGTACTGAAATTACATTATGGTGATGACTCCACAATTTGGTAAATAGACAAAAAACCACTAAATTTTACACTTTAAACAGGTGACTTTATAGTATGTAAATTATAGCTCAATAAAAGCTGTTTAAAAGGAAAAAGATACACCCAATACTTAATACCTTATTCCCGTTTTTCTTAGAACACACAGACCCTTACCTTGATGCCACAGCCCAGCCCGGCAGTCCGAACCTCTCATAGTCCCCTCCATAAATGTCTCGAACTAGTTTATCCACTTTGGTGCTATCTCCACGAGATGCCATTTCAAGAGCTTCTTCAAAAGTGGTACAGCCAGTAAGAAGACAGCAGAGACCAAAAAAAGTTCCTCCTCCAAGACTGATTAAAAACAAACAACACAGTATTATAACATTTTAAAAATAAGAACAGGAAGGTAATATTTATGAACACAAAACCACATTCATACATCAACCCACTCTTGCCCTAACCTAATCATGCAGATGCCTCTGGCAGGCAAGTCTGTGGAAAGATAAAAAACAAGGTACCTGATATATACCTTGATAGATACATATTCACATGAGCCAACAAGCAAAATGGCAAAACACAGGGCCCACGCCCCTGGGCCCACCCCCCCCCCCCCCCCCCCCCGCCCCCACGCCCCCACGCCCCCGGCCCCACGCTCCCAGTACAGTCTGAGCATCTGCTGAGTGTGAAGAGCCTGAGGTGCGGATCTGCCGGCCACACCCAGGCCACGCTAGCACCTCCCTTCCTTTGTCTCTCCAAACTCCTGGTCACCCTGGCTCATCAGCAACCCCACCGCACAGAGAACTCCTCCATTAATGTGTTTCTCCCCCAAAATTACTCATCTCATTTTTTAATTCACACCTGTGAAAAAAACCTGGTCTATCCCAATCCCCAGCTCCTTGTTCTGCCTCAAGTGATCCCTAATCCTTAAACCGCAACAAATTCATTCTTGCCTGCCACCCCTCCCTTTTCAGCCTGCCCTCCCCCAATCAGTTGTCTGTTGCTCAGTACCTCACCTTCCAGATCTCAGACCATCCTGTGGGTGGGTGGGTATGCGTGCACACACACGCCTGACTGTATAAAATCTAGGCCAGGGGCGCCTGGGTGGCTCAGTTGGTGAAGCGTCTGCCTTTGGCTCAGGTCATGATCCTGAGACTGAGCCCCACATTGGGCTCCCTGCTCAGCTGGGAGTCTGCTTGTCTCTCTCCTTCCCTCTGGTCCTCCCCACCGCTCGTACTCTCTCTCAAATAAATACAAAAAATCTTAAAAAAAAAAAAAAAAACCTAGGCCGGTTTCAAACCTGGGATCTTGCCTTGCAGATGCTACCTAGTAGCTTTAACTTTATGGTATATGCACATCATACGCTATCTAAGGGTAGGGACTAGGGGCTCAATGAGTCTGACAATGAGATATTTTACAGAACTATGATAATGAAATCCTGAGCAATACAGATTAAAGGAAAGTAGGTCACAATACCAGAATTTTCAAAGAGAAACTATTTGTTTGCCTAATCCCAGAAAAAAATGTTTTTCACATAATTTAAACAGATCCTTAAAAGTATACTTATATGCAATACCTGAAAACTCACTTTTAACCCATCAGGATATCAAGAATAAGCAGTAACCTTTATATAAAAGACCTACCTGGTACCCGTGACCCGCTTGTAATTATCTTTGGAATATACTGCTAAAATGCTAACCCCAGAGCCAATGTTCACCAGAAGCAGAGGGTATGGATTTTTCAAATCAAACGGTAACTTCTGACATTTTTCAGCATCAGCAGGGTTTTCAAAGTAATAGCACTGTGACCGTCCATTGAATCCAACTGAGTCAATGTATAAAATTCCTTTTACTAAACAATCTAGTTCATCAAGTTTGCAAAGCTGAAGGTCACCTATCTGTAATGAAATAAAAATGTATTCAGACTTTTTAACAGGCTAAACAAATAAAAACTCCACTTAATAAGGCACTCCATTCAACAAAGCATAGAAATGCTCACAGATGTGGATTATTTATGCATGATTCACAGAACAGACCTGGACACAACACACATAGGGACAGAGTGACAAGACAGACCCAACTCCACCCCACCTACAAACCGCCTTCACAACCGGAGACTTATGCTGAGACCCAAACAGAGAACGAGAGGTCTACGCTCAGGGACTGGGAGTCAGGAGCCAGGTGAGATCACAGCCCAATCAGAAAGCTGACTCCAAGAAATTCAAGTGTCTCAAACACCTGGTGACACATGGCAGGAGCCACAGGGACTCTCACGTCTCCCTTCCTAAAGACCATCTTCAAGACTATGGAGCAGTACCAAGGCAGGCCACACTTTATTATTAATAAGCAGACGTCAAAGGGCTGAAAAGTGTCCAAGTAGAAGGCAAGATTTTTCACTATCTAAACCGATTACAGCCCCTGAAGGATGGGAAGATTTTAGCAGTTTCAAAACTTACAACTTCATTCAGTTTAAATAATAAAGGAATGATTATTATTCATATTAGGGGGCATTATACAGCAATTAAGAGTGAAAAGGATCTTCTATTTTTTTTTTCAAAGATTTTATTTGACAGAGAGAGAGAGAGAGCACAGTAGGCAGAGCGGCAGGCAGAGGGAAAGGGAGAAGCAGACTCCCCGCCGATCAGGGAGCCCAAGGCGGGACTCAATCATGACCCGAGCCGAAGGCAGACGCTTAACGACTGAGCCACCCAGGCGCCCAAGGATCTTCAATTTAGAACTGAAGTGGGAAGAACTCCAGGATGTGTTGTCAAAAACGCAACTTGAGTAACATTTCATAAAGACCCTACCTGCCTGTTTCTAAAGCCAAGTTTATATGCACATGGTATGTGTCATACACAGTCATGCACAGAGAACTAGAAAGGTATGTCAACTTCTAACAGTGGTGATTCTGGAGAGATGGCAGAAAGAAACCCCCACTTCACTCCCTGGACTCCTAACCCACGTGAACGTTTAGGAGCACAGACCCTCCATATATGTGCAAAGGGAAAACTGCCTCGACCCGCTTAATGCACTGATTTCTACTTACAACCAGGTCTAGCCCTGCAAGTTCCCCCCCTTTAATTCTACTCTCACTTGATTGCATTTACTGTCAATTTATTCAGATCCACAGCAGAGAGGGAAGTTAACAGGTACCTTCATCTTACTCCTTAATTAATCCCTAAGTAAGACTATGAAATTATTCCTCTGACCAAACCCAAGCTCCTAGAGGATTCATCGCTGTCCTCACTGTACCTGCTCGTGCCCTCCCAGCTGTCATGAATTCAAAACTGACTTCCTGACATGAGATCTCAAGTGCTGGCATTTCCACTTGGAACTTTTCATCACTTTCCACTGGTGGTCTACGGGGGCCCAAGCCGTTGCTCTCCTTTTCCTTCCTATAATTCCTGTCATCCTGAAGTGTCCTGCTAATTCCTAATGAATCCCCACCTCTAAATGAAGAATGACTGAATGCACAGCTAATTTCACTAACACAAGGTATTCATAATGTACGTTCTGCACCAAGCAAACCCAGTATGTTCAGAAATCTGATTTGCATTAAAAAAGCAACAGGGTAAACTCAGTATTTTAAAAAATATTTCACTGTAGGGGCGCCTGGGTGGCTCAGTTGGTTAGGCGACTGCCTTCGGCTCGGGTCATGATCCTGGAGTCCCGGGATCGAGTCCCGCGTTGGGCTTCCTGCTCAGCGGGGAGTCTGCTTCTCCCTCTGACCCTCTTCCCTCTCGTGCTTCCTATCTCTCATTCTCTCTCTCTCTCAAATAAATAAATAAAATCTTTTAAAAAAATAAAAATAAATAAAAATAAAAAATATTTCACTGTAGTTTATTAAATACTAGTCACTCCTAATGCACAAACAGCATTTGACGGGCATTTCATTTTCCTACAATTTTCAAGTACAGCACTGGTGCGTGCATACAGATGAGAAACCCCGACAGCCTAAGAACCAATTCCCAAGGTCTAAAATCCTCTTTGCACCCTCCCCTTAAATTACCACACAATGCTGAACCTCTGGTAACAACCTGAATGATTTTCAAATATGTTCCAAAGGGCATCTCTACAGGGTCCCAGAGAAAGCTTTTCTCTGTTACGTATCAATTATGATCCAGAGTCCACTATGAAGCTTCCGCAAAGGAGGGGATCATCTCTCCTCCAGTTACACTTCCCCTTTACTCATGCGTGGAAGAGAAACCACTGAAAACCAACAACCAAAAGAAATCCAAGCAAAGAATACAGAAACTTGTTTAAAAAAATCATGTCAATTATGGTCAGTGATAAGACAAAGTCAGGAGACAGAAAACAAAGAAAGAGGCTAAGGTCACAAACCATACAATGACACATGGAGAAAAAAAAGGTAAACTGACAAAGGCAAAGGCAGAATCTCTAGAATAACATTCTCATTAGTGACATTAAAAACATGGTCACTGAAGGTATTTTCAATCTATACTGCCCCCTGAAGGTCCCAGTCTTGGCCAACTCACTTGTCCACTCTCCCACCTACCCCATCCCCACATCCACCTTAAAGGACCTAGCCTCAAGACTCTGCAGAGTGTTGACTAAATGAAAACAAAAGCAGGTACCCACTGGCACCCCACCAGTGTCCCCACGATTCAGAGACTCCTATTACAAGAACACAGCACAGAAGGCATCAGAAGGCATTTGGGGAGAGGAGGCTCCGCTGTTAACCATTTCCAACCAGCCCTGAGACCAAAAAGCCACTGCTTTGGACCAGAGTTCCTTGTTTTTTTTAAATAGTAAACTTGCCAAGAAAACAGAGGGGAACAGGAGAAATTATGTGGTAGATGAGATGAGAAACAATTTTATGACATGAAATGACATTTTCAAAAATTATTTTACTTAATTATTTTTTAAAAGATTTATTTATTTATTTATTTGAGAGAGAGAGAGAACAAGAGCAGGGGGCAGGAAGAGGGAGAAGCAGACTCCCCAGTGAGCAGGGAGCCCGACTCAGGGCTCGATCCCAGGACCCCAGATCATGACCTGAGCCGAAGGCAGAAGCTTAACCAACTGAGCCACCCAGGTGCCCTATTATTTTTTTTAAGTAGGCTCCATGCCCAGCATGGGGCTTGAACTCACAACCCTGAGAGCAAGAGTCACATGTTCCACCAACTGAGCCAGCCAAACTCCCCAAAATTATTTCCCAATCTCATTGTTCAAGAGTTTTTTTTTTTTTTTTAGTAATCTCTACCCAAAATGGTGCTCAAACTCACATCCCCAAGATTAGAAGTTGCATGCTCTTCCAACTGAGCCAGCCAGATGCCCCTCACTGTTCAAGACTTAATGACCTGTTCCTCATAGATAATTCTTCAGTCTGCTTATCACAGCTTTGCTATTTTTTCAACACTAGAAGAACAACAAAATGCTCTGGTGGTTGATCCTCATCAACTTATCTGAACTGGGCAAAAAGTAAACTCCACAACAATCTCTAGATGGCTAACTCCTGACTACCACTCATTTACATCTATCTAATCTTAATCAGACTCAAGAAAATTCAAGTTCTATTAGAAACAGAAATGATTCCACCACTTGCTCTTGGTATTATTTTTAACAATCAGATTACCAAGACACCCGGGTGGCTCAGTTGGTTGAGCGTCCGACTCTTGGTTCCTGCTCAGGTCATGATCTCATGGGTCATGGGTCATGGGATCCAGCCCCATTGCCAGGCTTTGTGCTCAGCGGGGAGTCTGCCTGAAGATTCTCTCTCCCTCTCCCTCTGCCCCTCCTCACACACGCTCACACACCCCACTTGCTCTCTCTCAAATAAATAAATCATTTAAAAAAATCAGATTACCATAAATTGTATATAAGCTAAAAAATACATACTGTGAGAAAATCCTGCTCAAATTTGTACGCTCCACCTCCAGTGGCACAAAAGACAGTGTGGAGACTCGAGAAGTTTTTATCTCTGCCCATCTGAATGAAAGCAGGCATGTCATGAGTGGGAAAGCGTATAAAGTGCAGATTGCCCTTGCGTCCACACAGAGTCAGGTCCTTTAACTCCAGGTGCACGTCCCGAATACCTGTGGACCCATAAGCCACATTGGAGGTCAGGTACTTCCGAATGCTTTTAAGACTTTCCACCTCTTCCTCTTCTTCTTCAGCAGTGATGTCTTTGGGTTCAAAATAAACCAGCTTGACCAGGGTTCCACCAATATCCAAGCCAAACCACGGAAAAACTAAATGGAGAAGGAAAAAAAAAGTCAGAACAACTTTTTTCTGAAAACTAAACATATATATACTAGATGAGCAACTTATTCATACCTTGAGGTTTCCAAGGACTATAAATACAAAAAGGGGTTTGGATAAAGAAATAGGATTCTGATTTGGAAACACATATTAAAAAAAAAATCAGAATACTGGGCCAACCCAACCTAACCCTATTGAACAGATAAGCCCAAAATATACTATGAAATATTAAAAAACAACGAAGTGACTACCCATGAACCTCAACTCTGGGGTAAAAAAAAAGAAAGATTGAGAATGAAAATCTATATCCTTCCCCTTGGCTTAAATAAGAAATGTTGAGGGGCACCTGGGTGGCTCAGTCAGTTAAGCATCTGCCTTTGGCCCAAGTCATGATCTCAAGGTCCTGGGATCGAGTCCCACATTGGGCTCCCTGCTCAACCGGGAGCCTGCTTCTCCCTCTCCCTCTGCCACTCTCTCTCTCTGTCAAGTAAATAAAATCTTTAAAAAAAAAAAAAAAAAGAAAGAAATGTTGAGGGGGTGCCTGGGTGGTTCAGTCAGTTAAGCATCTGTCTTCAGCTCAGGTCCTGATCCCAGGGTGCTGGGATGGAGCCCCAGGTCAGCAGGGAGTCTGCTTCTCCCACTTCCTCTGCCCTTCCCCCCAGCTTGTGTGTGCACACGCTCTCACTCTCTCTCTCTCTCTCTCCCTCACTCTCTCAAATAAATAAAATCTTTAAAAGAAAAAAGAAAAGGGCACCTGGGTGGCTCAGTCATTAAGAGCCTGCCTTCGGCTCAGGTCATGATCCCAGAGCCCTGGGATCAAGCCCCACATCAGGCTCCCTGCTCCACGGGAAGCCTGCTTCTCCCTCTCCCACTCCCCCTGCCTGTGTTCCCTCTCTCGCTGTGTATCTTTCTTTCAAAAAAAAAAAAAAAAAAATAAAAAAAAAAAAAAAAAAAGAAAATCTTTAAAAAAAAGGAAAAAAAATGCTGAAACTTTTCAGAGCTCCAGTTTAGTACGCAAATTAGGGGTACAGGAAATTCCCAATCCATGTAAGATGTAAACTCCAGTAGTCAATTTGTCCCTCAAAACCTGATGTCCCCAAAATAAAAGGTTTCAAAGGACTTTAATGGAACAGACATTTCAGAGTTATATCTGTTCCAAAAAAATGGCTTCGGGAGATCAGATGAAGATGGACTGCACAGACATGCATGACTTTGCCCTCCCAGCTTAGATCACAGAAATGACTAAAGATAGAGGTTTACTGATGTATTATTTTCCAAAACAGTTCTGGGAAACAAGAAATTATATGATCAGCAGAACTAGGTTGACAAAGGCAGTAACTGTCCAGAACCCTCAAGAGAAGAACTGTATAAAAACCGGGAGTAGCTATGAACACTGGGAGCATAGAGGTGCTCCATCAAGCCGTACACAGGGGTAGCTGCATGGGGAAACAGGAGCAGGCTCTGGTGGCCATGGGTGATCTGGTGGGGAATGCATCTGGCGCAACTGGACAGACCAACCACTTCCCTCCCCCCCCCGCCTACCCCGGCCCCCCCACTACCAGAAGCAAAGTCTTCACTAAACCAAGCACTTAAGCCAAAGAGTCAGGATGGCACCCAAGTAGCTACTATCACTCAGAAGAAATGAGGAGCCCCCACACCTGGCCATATATACCTACAGTCCATTCTAGGAGACTGGTAAAGAGACAATGCATCCACGGACAGAACAGCAATCCTCAAAACAGAGATGATCACTTTACAAATTAGAATCACCAAAAGGGAGATCTATACCACAAAAATGAGAAACTAAACATCTGAAGAAAGAATTGCAGGAACAAACAGGAGACTTAAAAATAATCATAGGGGCACCTGGGTGGCTCAGTTGGTTAAGCGACTGCCTTCAGCTCAGGTCATGATCCTGGAGCCCCGGGATCAAGTCCCACATCGGTCTCCCTGCTCAGCAGGGAGTCTGCTTCTCCCTCTGACCCTCCCCCTTCTCATGTGCTCTCTCTCTCAAATAAATAAATAAATAAAATCTTAAAAAAAAAAATAATCATAAATACCCTCAGAGGTAAAGTAAGATCTCATCCATAAAAAAAAAAAAGCTACCACAAGCAAAAATCAGAAATTAAGAAATGATTGCCACCTGTGGTTGTGACTGCAAGAATCTACATGTGATAAAATTATACAGAACTAAATATGCATACACCAAGAGTTTATATAAAACTGGTGAACTCTAAGTCAAGTCTGTGAATTGTATCAATGTTAATTTCTTAGTGGGGGGGGTGAAGCTTTCAAAACCAAAAAAGGGGGGAAAGGGACAAACTACTCTATACTTAACACAGATAAATTCAAAAATAGGCTGAGTAAAAGAAGCCTGCACAACAGGCTACATACTATAGGATTCCATTTATAAGAAACCCTAGGAGATACAAAGCAATCATTTCTGCATCTGACTGGAATTATATTGTTGGCTGGGGGAGGAAGGGAGGGAAAGACTGGACAGGCGCAGGAGAAAACTTTCTGTAGTAACCCAAATCTTGACTGCTGGAGGTGAGGGGAAAGCTTCACGGGTGTATGTATCTGTCAAAATGCATGGAATTGTACACTTTAAATGGGTGCAGTTGCTTGTGTGTAAATTATACCTCAATAAAGAGTTTTATGAAAGAAAAAAAGGAACAAATCTATTTCCAAAATAAAGCTCAACCAATATATTTAATGGGCACAGAAAAAATAAATGGAAAACAAAAGAAATTCTCCCAAAATGCCTCTCAAGTATGAAGAAAAGGTAGATTTCTATATATATACATAGAAATACACAACTAGGAAGTCCAATATCTACCTTCTCTGAGTCCCAGAAATTTCCTGGGGGAGAAAGGGGAGGAAAGACATAAATCATCAGGTTCACTAGTGTTAAGCAGAACCAATTAGTGGAGAAAGGGCAGACTTAGACACATGCTATTGAAATGTCAAGAAATCCAAGGCACCTGGATGGCTCAGTTGGCTAAGTGGCTGACTTCTGCTCAGGTCATGATCAAGCCCCATGTCAGGCTCACCACTCAGCAGGGAGTCTACTTACCCCTCTCCTCCTGCTCCTCCCCTGCTTGTTCTCTTGCTCTCTCTCTCAATTAGGTAAGGGGCACCTGGGTGGCTCAGTCCTTAAGCATCTGCCTTCAGCTCGGGTCATGATACCAGGGTCCTGGGATCGAGCCCCGCGTCGGGCTCCCCGCTCCGCGGGAAGCCTGCTTCTCCCTCTCACACTCCCCCTACTTGTATTTTTCACTCTCTATCAAATAAATAAAATCTTTTAAAAACAATTCAGTAAAATCTTTTAAGAAAATTTTTTTAATAAATGTCAAGAAATCCTAAAGACTTCCAAAGATTGCATGGACATGGATGGAACTGGAGGGAATTATGCTGCACGGACATGGATGGAACTGGAGGGAATTATGCTAAGTGAAATAAGTCAAGCAGAGAAAGACAATCATCAGATGGTTTCACTCATATGTGGAACACAAGGAATAGTGCGGAGGACCACAACGGAAGGGAGGGAAAACTGAATGGGAAGAAATCAGAGAGGGAGACAAACCATGAAAGACTCTGGACCCCAGGAACCAAAGTGAGGGTTACAGAAGGGGGGGGAGGGGGTAAATGGGTGATAGGTATTAAGGAGGGCACATGTGGTGATGAGCACTGGGTGTTATACACAACTAATGAATCGTTGAACACTACATCAAAAACTAATGATGTACTATATGCTAACTGAACATTAAAAAAAAAACTTTTCAAAGAAAAAAACTGAATTCCTACAAAGATACATAAATCACACAAAGGTGGAATTAGATTTTTCATCAGCGACATAGATGCTATATAAGACAATGGAGCACTGGCTTCCAAGTTATAAGGAAAACGATTTTGAAACATATCCAGCCAAATCAGCTTTCAAAGAGGAATGCAAAAGAAATTTTCACACATGAAAGAACTCGATGTTTACTACTCAAAAACCTTCTCTGAAATAATCAGTAAATGCGTTCCAATATAATTTAAAAAGCATCCAAGAAGGTACGAGTGTTAAGAAACAATGATAAGCAAAGGAAGCAGCAATACATGTGACTTTCAAAAACTCAGCAATCTGGAACTAAAATACATGATTTCAACACAGGAAGTTGAAGAGGGAAGAGAAAGGAGAGGGAAGTGAAGCAAACTGCAGTTCTGTCTTGATGGGGGAAAGAAGATACAGATTCTGATTAATTCTAAATAAGAATGAAGTGACAATTTAAACTCATCAAAATTCACAGGTAACTCCAGAAGAAAAAAAATGAACATATGACCTTCAAACAACTATGGAAAAAAAAAATCAGTTCAAAAACAAAAACAAAAAAAAATATGGGAAGTACAAAACAAAAAAAATGATAGGAATGGGGCCAGTTAAGCATCTGCCTTCCGCTCCGTCATGATCTCTGAGTCCTGGGATTGGGCCCCGCACTGGGTTCCCAGTTCAGCATCCTCCCAGCTCAGCCGGGAGTCTGCTTCTCCTTCTGCCGCACCCCCCATGCTCGCTCTTCAAATAAATAAAATCTTTAAAAAAATGAACACAAACGTATCAGTAATCACAAACTGGTCACATTTCCCTTCTAAAGAGAAAATTCAATTATATGCTTATATAAAAAGATACATTTAGGGGCGCCTGGGTGGCTCAGTTGGATAAGCGACTGCCTTCGGCTCAGGTCAAGATCCTGGAGTCCCGGGATCGAGTCCCACATCGGGCTCCCTGCAGGGAGTCTGCTTCTCCCTCTGACCCTCCTCCCTCTCATGCTCTCTGTCTCTCATTCTCTCTCTCTCAAATAAATAAATAAAATCTTAAAAAAAAAAAAAGATACATTTAAGATAACAAGTAGACTGATGGTAAATAAATGGCAGAACACCCACAACAGAGTCCCATCATGCTTTAAGATGAAAACAGCATTCAGTCAAAAGTGCTCACATCAAAATC